TGTCATTAGACATCGCCAACGCATTCAATAGTCTGCCATTCAGCTGCATCAGGGAAGCACTCCACTATCATGGGGTGCCAAAGTACCTGAGGCGGCTAGTGGCAGACTATTTAGAGGAGCTTACCGTCGTGTACGAGTACCGAGAAGGTAATTTGAGGTGTCGGCCCATGTCGTGCGGTGTTCCACAGGGGTCTGTTCTTGGACCCCTCTTGTGGAACATAGGGTACGACTGGGCCCTTCGCGCCGATTTCCCCCCCGGGCTGGGTGTAATCTGTTACGCAGACGATACCCTGGTGACAGCCCGGGGGGCAAACTTCCAAGAGGCGGCGCGCCTGGCCACCTGGTGGTCGGGCGCATTGAGGCGCTGGGCTTACGGGTGACCCTAGATAAGACGGAGGCCCTGTTATTTCATGGGCCCCGTCGTGGTCCACCCCCTGGCGCCTCAATCGTGGTCAACTCGGTCCTCGTACCGGTTCGGGCCCAGATGAAATATCTGGGCCTGATCCTCGACGGGAGGTGGCTCTTCGACGAGCACTTCCGACAGCTTGCTCCAAAGCTGGTCGGCGCTGCGTCTGCCCTAGGGCGACTTTTGCCCAATATGGGTGGACCCAGCGTCGCGACAAGACGGCTGTACACGGGGGTTGTCCGGTCAATGGCACAGTACGGTGCACCGGTGTGGGCGGCGGCTCTGACCGCCCAGAATAGGGCGCCCTCAGAGAGTAATGGCGGTCAGAGCCATACGCGGTTACCGCACCTTTTCGACGGAGGTGGCATGCGCGTTGGCCGGAACTCCCCCGTGGGATTTGGAGGCGGAAGTGCTCGCCGAAGTTTATCGGCGAGTGGCTGACTCCCGGGCGGAGAGCGGATTTCGCCCTCCGCCCGAGGATGTGCGCGAGTGGCGCGAAGCCGCTCGCCGAGCCACGATGGCTCGTTGGTCGTTCCGGCTGGAGACTCCACGCGCTGGCTTCGCCGCCGTGGAGGCTCTCCAGCCGGTCATCGCCGAGTGGGCAGGGCGGCAGCACGGGACCCTTTCCTTCCGGCTGACGCAGGTGCTTTCCAGGCACGGTTGCTTCGGAAAGTACCTGCACTCGGTCGCTAGGAGGAAACTGAGTCCCGCCTGCCACCACTGCGACTGCAGTGAGGGCTCGGCCCAGCACACGCTGGCGGTCTGCCCCGCATGGGCGGCGCAGCGCCGGGCCCTCACTGCAGTCATCGGAGTGGATCTCTCGCTACCGGCCGTAGTACGCTCCATGGCCGGTAGCGACAGTTGTTTTACCGCGGTCGCAACCTTCTGCGAGGTAGTAATCTCGCGGAAGGAGGCGGCGGAGGGGGCCCGGGAGGATGACCTCCACTCGGACCCGATCCGCCGCCGGCGAACCGGGCGGCGGAGGCCCGCCTATCACAGCCTAATGCCGCCCTGAGTGTGGCCGCGGGTGGACGGGGTGGGTTTCCCCTCCACCCGCATTAGTTTGGCCAGCCGCGAGGGGCGGCGTCCGCGTGTGCCGGACGTCGCCTAAAGAGAGGAAAAAAAAAAATATATATTGAGACGGAGACCGCACCAGGAGCGGGCTGGCGCTAGGAGGGGTCCGGATGTCTTAACAACAGCTGTTCCCGGATCCCTCCTGTTACAGGCGCAGAGTGGCACACCGTGTGGTTTTAGTCGGTCCGAGTCCGACACACCACCCCGCCGCAAACCCCGGAGGGGTGACGGTCCGAGGGGATTTCCACACGTTAAAAAAAAAAAAGAAAAAAAAAAAGGTCGTCTGCATAGAGGAAGCGGGAGGTATGTGGGCTGGATGGTTGGTCATTGGTATAGATATTAAATAAAAGCGGTGCCAAGACGTAGTGTCTTGGCACCGCTTTTATTTAATATCTATAGGCAGGCCGTTTTTCTGTGCTCTCCAACGACTTTTTTTCCGAGAGAAGGTGGACTTTAAATCGGCGGTTGTGGAGAAGTTCTCGGAGTATGCGGATGAAATTTTGATCGTTGACCAAGGTTTCCACCTTCCACAACAGCCTCTTGAGGTTGACTGTATCGTAGGCAGCTGATAGGTCCACGAATACAGCACCAGTGACCATTCCTCTCTCGAAGCCATCCTCAATGTGTTGTACCACTTTAAGAGTCTGGTTACTGCAAGACTTCACGGGTCTGAAGCCAGCTTGCTCGGGAATCAGTTTTGGATCAATGACGCCCACAAGGCGGCTCAGCAGCAGTCTCTCGAATAGTTTATATGTGTGACATAGTAGAGAGATAGGGCGAAAGTTTTTAGGATCGTCTGCTGCTTTACCTGGCTTAGGGATTGCAATGATCTTAGATTTTCTCCAGAGACGGGGTATTGAAGCTGATTTCAGGCAGTTGTTGTAAAGTTGCAGCAACCACGACACAGCAACTGGGCCAAGCTGTTTTAATTGCTCGACTGAGATGTCGTCGACTCCAGAGGCTTTACCAGACTTAAGGCGACTTATCGCTGTAACGATATCAGTAACGTTGAATGATTTACTGATATCGTCACCAGCGCCATCAGTTTTTTGTGATTTTGGGATCCTACTGGAACGGCGTGTTGGTCTGCCATGAACAAGTAGTTGATGTGCTATCTGGTTTGCGGTGACTTGGCTTGGCGGTGCGGGTTGAGGGGACTCACCGGTCAGCTTTCGAATCGTACTCCAAGCCTTTTTACTGTTGTGAGTCATGTCGATGCTAGTAACAGTATTCGTCCACCTCTCTCGTCTGTTTTCGCCTAGTTTAGATAGCAACAATTCTCCAGCAAGTGTGGTTGCCTCAGAAAAAGGATCGGATCGGAACAGTGATTCGTATCGCGTCAGTAATTCACTGGAATCTGTTGACAGCCCCGGAATGTAGGAGGTCCTGCAGCCCCTTGGGATGTGTCTTCGGGAATAAGTTGACACAATCTCGACAAACTGGTCGTAGTTTTGCGGGGTTGAACATTGAACAGGGCGTCATCGATCGACTGCGTAAACGACTCCCAATCAGCCTTGGCATAGTTGAATCGGCGCTTGAAGGGGACATTTATAGATCGGACCACGGATTCGATGCAGCACATAATTGGTCTATGTTGAGTGCGAGGAATAGGTGAACACACTCTTTTAGTGCACTGTGAGCTGATAGAAGAGCTAGCGAAGATTAAATCAGGATTGTACCCGCGTTTCCAACGACCACTGTTAAAGGAGGCCGGTTGTTTGGCGTCATGGATTAGTGCCAAATCATTCGACTCAGCCCATTCTTCGACTGCATCTCCACTCATATCCGTGTCGTTGTAGCCCCAGTTGGTGCTGCGGCTGTTAAAGTCACCGATTACAACTTTAATTGGCAGGCTACTAAAGTTCTCTGGCGGAGTGAAGTTAAATGTGGTGCCGGGTGGTTTATAAATGGAAGTGATGGAGCAATTACCAACATCTACTGTGATAATTTCTATGCCGTTTGTTTATTTTTATGTATTGAGATGCGACTGTCATGATACCAGTTTCTTTAAACTTATCCCTCAGTGACTACCTATAACTGAGATTCGAAATTGCACGAATAGCTCTCTTTTGCAACACAAAGATACTTTGAATGTCAGCAGCATTTCCCCACGACAAAATACCGTATGACATTAAACTATGAAAATAGCTAAAATACACCAGTCTAGCTGTTCCTTCATCGGTTAATTGACGAATTTTATAAACCGCGCATGCTGCAGGGCTGAGTCTATTCAACAATCCGTCAATGTGTGGGCCAAGCTGCAATTTAGAGTCTAGTCTTATACCCAAATACTTGAGATAAGATTCAACCCCTTTCCATTTATTAGAACATTGGTTTTTATATGCGTAACATTAGGTGTAAAAAATCTAATACATTTCGTTTTATTCTCGTTTAAAAGTATATAAGTAAGTAAGTATATGATAATAAAGCATGGTAATCAAGTTATAAAAAAATTATCATATTTATAACAGTAGTATTCAATATGGGCAGTAGTGTTTACAGTACAGAATACTAAACAAGAAAAAAACGTTTCTATATTTATTAAATGTGGAGATCGTGTGAAATATATACATTTCCAAATAATTCAGTCTCATCCGATGTATGTTACAGCGATTAGTCAAACTATCTAACCTTGGTTAAGCGTTTGGGATGTTCAGATTATTATTAAATACAGGCAATCACTGCATGAGTCTTATTCTTGTTTTATTTTTTTAGTTTACGCCAACATGTCATAAAATATTACAACCACTTTGTGGGTTTACGTGCGTCAACAATTAAAATCATGATTACTCATTGAGACTGTGTTATGTTAATGCAGTGTGATAATGTTTTTTATAGTTCCAAAGTGCCTAGATGGCCCTGATAAGAAGATCACCCTTTAGATTGCGTTTTGAGATTATCCAGCGACCATGAACCTCTCAAGTTTAAAAGGTTCCAGCATGAAACTTTATTTAATTGAAACCAGCCGAATACACTATCATTACGCTCCTTTTGAAACATTTGTGCATTCATAATGCTCTGTCCTTCCTAAGCAAGGCAAGATTTCTTAGGCTAAAACTTGGAAGAGATGCTATCTTTTCATGGTGACCCTTGCCCTTGATAAAAGTTATTTTACAATGGCTTGGAAATCTTAGAACATACATCATATAGATAACATTTAGCCACAAAAAGTCGTGATCTATGCCTGACAATGTAAAAAAAATGTTTGAAAGAAAATTTTGCAAGGAAAAGGAACAAATCAATTTTGACCAATTTTGACGAAAAAACAAACTATTTCTTTAAGGTTTTATACCTTAAAGAAATAGTTTGTTTTTTTTATAAAAAAATTCTTTCTATATAAATAAATAAAATTGAAGTGTCTATTTATAATTTCAAAATAATAGGTTTTAGACTCACACGGTTATTTTCACGATACCTATGCCTTAAAATCCAAAATGTTTGTTCCAGATAATCTTGAAAATGATTAGACCGCTTTTGATAATATTTTACAACCAGGTAGCTTTCTATATAGTATACTCACATTTGCCCGATTGTTTGGAGGAGGTCCCAAAGAAGTAGTAGTCGGGCTAGTAGAAGAATCACTCCACGGGTGCATCTGTAAAATAACTTTCATTCATTTAAAATCATCATCTACAGCCTTTAATAGTCCACTGCTGGACATAGGCCTCTCCTTACAAAGGAGGTTTTGGCCTACTATACCACGTTGGACAGACGGGTTGGTATAGGGTTTGTGTCCAGTTCCCCGGGGGCGGCTGACGGCGGGCTGTCCTATGCGACCATCTTTAAAAAGGCCCGGGACAGTTTCTCCCGCTTTCCGCGGTGGGCTGTTGCCAGACTGAACCGGGACCTACTAGAGGAGGCAGCCATAATTCACTCGTGGCTGTCTCCTCAGGCTCCGACCGAGGAGGTCGACGTGGGGGCTGGTCGCTTTCGCGATGCGATTACGCATGTCTGCGATGCGGCCATGCCCCGCATTCGAGGTCGTCGGCCTCCAAGGAAGGAGGTCTACTGGTGGTCCCAGGAGCTGGCGGACCTCCGTGCGGCCTGTACACGTGCCCGGAGGTCCAATACGCGCAGTCGGCGGCGTCACCGTGGAGACGGTGAGGAGGACCGGCTTCATGAGGAGTACTGAGAGGCGCGGAAAACTCTGAAGCTGGCCATTAGCCGCGCCAAAGAGATAAAGAGAAAGGAGATGCTGGAGGGTATCGATCGTGACCCCTTTGGGGTCGCCCTTATCGCGCGGTGCGACAAAAGCTCCGCGCGTCGGGCCCCCCCCCCTTACGGAGACTCTCCAGCCCAGCTTCCTGCAGGAAGTGGTTGAGGGCCTTTTCCCGCAGCGGGCGGAGCACACTCCCCCGGCGATGGCCTCCTTGGCCGGAGACGACGGGGAGCACGAGGGGGATGATGTTCCGCCCGTCCGGGATTCGGAGGTAGGGGTGGCTGTTCTACGGATCCGTGCCAAGAATACCGCCCCTGGGCCAGACGGGGTACCGGCTCGAGTGCTGGCCCTAGCCCTCAACCACATAGCAGACCGCCTCGGGGAGGTGTTCGACGCTAGCTTGGCGTCGGGATGTTTCCCTGAGTTCTGGAAGAGCGGGAAGCTGGTCCTATTAAGGAAGCCGGGACGGCCTGCCGATTCGGTCGCGGCCTACAGGCCCATCGTGCTAGGCGGGTAAATTGTTTGAGAGGGTTCTCTCTGCCCGCATCGTCCGGCACCTCTACGAGGTGGGCCCCGATCTGTCGGACGCCCAATTTGGTTTTCGGGCGGGGCGTTCGACCGAAGAGGCCGTGAGCTGTGGCGGCGTGCTGTTGGCGGTGTCATTAGACATCGCCAACGCATTCAATAGTCTGCCATTCAGCTGCATCAGGGAAGCACTCCACTATCATGGGGTGCCAAAGTACCTAAGGCGGCTAGTGGCAGACTATTTAGAGGAGCGTACCGTCGTGTACGAGGACCGAGATGGTAATTTGAGGTGTCGGCCCATGTCTTGCGGTGTTCCACAGGGGTCTGTTCTTGGACTCGTCTTGTGGAACATAGGGTACGACTGGGCCCTTCGAGCCGATTTCCCCCCGGGCCGGGTGCAATTTGTTACGCAGACGATACTCTGGTTACAGCCCGGGGGGCGAACTTCCAAGAGGCGGCGCTCCTGGCCACAAGGGGAGTCTCCCTGGTGGTCGGGCGCATTGAGGCGCTGGGCTTAAGGGTGGCCCTAGATAAGACGGAGGCTCTGTTATTTCATGGGCCCCGTCGTGGTCCACCCCCTGGCGCCTCAATCGTGGTCAACTCGGTTCTCGTACCGGTTCGGGCCCAGATGAAATATCTGGGCCTGATCCTCGACGGGAGGTGGCTCTTCGACGAGCACTTCCGACAGCTTGCTCCAAAGCTGGTCGTCTGCCCTAGGGCGACTTTTGCCCAATTTGGGTGGACCCAGCGTCGCGACAAGACGGCTGTACACGGGGGGTGTTCGGTCAATGGCACTATACGGTGCACCGGTGTCCCACACCGGTGCACCGCATAGGGCTCTGCGGCTCTGACCGCCCAGAATAGGGCACGCCTCTGGCGCCCTCAGAGGGTAATGGCGGTCAGAGCCATACGCGGTTACCGCACTGTTTCGACGGAGGTGGCGTGCGCGTTGGCCTTGAACTCCCCCGTGGGATTTGGAGGCGGAAGTGCTCGCCGAAGTTTATCGGCGAGTGGCTGACTCCCGGGCGGAGAGCGGATTTCGCCCTCCGCCCGAAGACGTGCGCGAGTGGCGCGAAGCCGCTCGCCGAGCCACGATGGCTCGTTGGTCGTTCCGGCTGGAGACTCCACGCGCTGGCTTCGCCGCCGTGGGAGGCTCTCCAGCCGGTCATCGCCGAGTGGGCTTGGCGGCAGCACGGGACCCTTACCTTCCGGCTGACGCAGGTGCTTTCCGGGCACGGTTGCTTCGGAAAGTACCTGCACTCGGTCGCTAGGAGGGAACTGAGCCCCGCCTGCCACCACTGCGACTGCAGTGAGGACTCGGCCCAGCACACGCTGGCGGTCTGCCCCGCATGGGCGACGCAGCGCCGGGCCCTCACTGCAGTCATCGGAGTGGATCTCTCGCTACCGGCCGTAGTACGCTCCATGGCCGGTAGCGACAGTTGTTTTACCGCGGTCGCAAAGGAGGCGGCGGAGAAGGCCCGGGAGGACGACCTCCACTCGGACCCGATCCGCCGCCGCCGAAGCGCGCTTTCCTGCGCCTCATGCCGCCCTGAGTGTGGCCGCGCGTGGACGGGGTGGGTTTCCCCTCCACCCGCATTAGTTTGGCCAGCCGCGAGGGGGCGGCGTCCGCGTGTGCCGGACGTCGCCTAAAGAGAGGAAAATATTGAGACGGAGCCCGCACAAGGAGCGGGCTGGCGCTAGGAGGGGTCCGGATGTCTTAATAACAGCTGTTCCCGGATCCCTCCTATTACAGGCGCAGAGTGTCACACCGTGTGGTTTTAGTCGGTCCGAGTCCGACACACCACCCCGCCGCAAACCCCGGAGGGGTGACGGTCCGACGGATTTCCACACGTTAAAAAAAAAAAAATGGTTTGTGTCCAGTTCTCCTTATTTTTGCAGTGCTGGTGTCCTGCGTTGTTTTGCGCCCTTAGTCGGCTCTTACGGCACCCACGCGATGAATTGGGGTCGTGACATTCCGTATTCCTAATCCGTCACTACACGGACATTTAAAATGGTAGGTAAGTATATTTCATTACCTTTTAAATTTTAATATTTAGTTATATGTACTTTTTGTTTTGTTTCGGTGAGAAGTGCTCCTATTTTATTTAACCTACCGTAACATTATAATTGAGATTGACAAAGAGGAAAAAGAAAAGTAAAAATGTAATCAGAAGGAAATGTTTTGCCTCTTCAGGCATTTTTTCATTGAAGTTTCATCACGTTTGATGGGAATAAATTCCAATCAAAACTCAAAAGTAATTAAATTAACGACGATAGGAAAACCTCTCAACGTGTGCCGTGCTGGTGTCGGTAAAAAATATTTTTATAATTCGAATTGTTATTTTTGCTTAGGATATTTTAACCAAAATAAACAGTAAATATTTTGGAGTCATCATCATCATCTGACTATCGCAGTTCACTGCTGGACATAGGCCTGTCCCATTGCACTCCTCTCCTATTGATCAATTTTCGGCTGTTCAAATAAATTACCTCAACTCTATTCCATTGTCCGCTGAGGTCCACTTTAATCAGTAATAAGCTCTCTCGAAGAACATATGCTAAAGTCCCAACTGATAGTTGATGATTTTTCTGAAAAACAAACCCAATTTAATTATCAAGATAACCTATCTTAGGACTTAATTTTATAACAAATTTTAATTTTAAAATAAAAATATTGAGTTTGTCTTTAATATTGTGAATTTATAGTTGAATAATCACAACTTATTTCTATAAGTGTTCAGTAAAACTTTTAAATAAATTGAAAAAAAAAATTAATGTTTAAAAGAACAACCTCAAATTAAAAGGTCTTTTACATACTGTGATCAACATCTCTGTTAACCTAAAAAACAAAATATCAAGAATCACAGTTGTTTCATGTTTATTTTACAACCAATATTAAATACTTAAATTAATATTAGCCCGTGAAATATTGGTGTAGAACACGGATAAACTAATACGGATTTTTGTGAACAATCAAATACACTCAAGCTGCAAACAGACATTCATGTATTCAAATAAATTAAGCCAAGTAAAGTTCAAACCTTGACTCTCGGCGTGACAGGCTAATGCAATAAGCCCTTGCATAGGAGATCATCAAAAAAAAAGTTGTGTATTTAGTATACATGTTGGTTTAAACAAAACATGTATCGGTTGTGTTGGTTTGATATTAAAATAACGAAATCGAAAAGTATAATTAAAAAAATTGAGTTTACCTTCATTAGTCCTTTTAATGTAGTATAGATGAAAGTGTTAACAGGTAAAAACGCGTCTTCATCATACAAATTCACTGAAATTGGAATAATGTTATAGTAATTCATATTTCTATACTTATATTTTAAATGGGAAAGTGAGTTTGTTTGTTACGCTTTCACGCCTAAACCACAGGCGTAATATAGACTACTTTTTACCGCGATAACCGATATACGTAACGGGCACGATATACCGGGCGGTACTAGTCTCAAAAGCTAGTCATTAATAAATAACAGAAAGAAATGAAAAAAACATGTAAAAAAACGTTTGGTGTAGTGGTTTAAGCGGTCACCTCGCCGCTTCCCACTGAGCTGAGTGTTGTGGGTCCGATCCCTACACTTGAAAACACTTTGTGTAAGCCACGAATCGTTGTTCTGAGACTGGGTATTCTTTGTGTCCATTTACGTATGTTTGTAACATCCCGCGATACAAGATATTCCTAGAGCGGGAGCTGTCTTTAACATAAAAATGTGATGGTGTTTGAATTTTACTAAACTTTTTAATTGTTTTCTTAACCTTTATTATAAAATGTATTCAATCTGAATTCAAAAGTGAAATTCATTCATGATTATAATAGGGTGACATGAAAACTGTGACAAAATACAATGAGTCTTACAAGTAAAATCTCCAAAATCTTTGAAATAAGAATCTCCCTTGTCTCCTTTTTGTCCTTCTACTGACAAACCAGGTGGTCCTGTCTCCCCTTTCACTCCCGGCGTCCCTTCAGGGCCTCTAGGGCCCGGTGGTCCTTCGCTTCCTTGACGACCTATTCTACCTGGATAGCCTTTTTGACCTTTTTGTCCTGGTCTTCCACTTGCACCTGGTTTTCCTGTATCTCCTTTATCGCCTTTTAGCTGTTAACAGAAATGTTACTGATAGAACCTTGTAGTCATTTTTCGTATCTATGTTTGTTTTGATGATGATATAAATTTGCCTAAAAGTTTACCTTTTGTAAGTCAAAATGTTGTGCATTTTCACCTTTTTCTCCCTTTTTTCCTGTAGAACCTTTCAATCCAGATGGTCCTATGGGTCCCTAGAAAGTAAATTAAAACAAAAATGATCTTGTTACCACAAATGATAACCTGATTAGTGAACAGTTGATACCTGCTCATATCTGATGCCTTTTAAGGAGGGTTTGAATTGTGTCAAAAATAAAACTCAACTCAGTCAGGAAAACTTATACCGCCCTAATTAAGTGTCAACAGTAATTTTTTTTATTAAAAATGTGATAATTTAAATTTCGAATTCTTTTATTTTCTTATTTAGAAAATAATAGGTCTCTAACTCAAAACACGTGAATGGTTAAATGTATACGTAGTACTTTCTAATTCTAATATGGAATCGGAGCCATTGTGATGCTGGTCATTTTGTGTTATTTTAGTATAAATAGATTTCTGTACTCACCGTTATCCCAGGCGGGCCAGATTCGCCTCGGTCACCCTTTGGGCCGACTGGCCCGATGTCTCCTCTATCTCCTTTCTCGCCTTTGGGACCTGCTGGTCCAATTGAACCAGGATGACCTTTGTTTCCCTGTGGGCCCTAGAAAAACCCAAAAATATAAACCAAAGTTCTTCTATTTTTGCAAAGTAGGGTGTCTTTGATAGTTAACTGGAATATTTTATAAAAACTTACTATCCCTGCAGGTTGCACTAATCCCGGAGGTCCACGCTCGCCTTTCTCTCCTTTAAGACCCGGTGGTCCAATAGGGCCAATTTCTCCTTTTGGTCCCTGGTCCCCCATTTGTCCTGGTCGACCATCTGTACCATTTCGTCCAGAATATCCTTCTGGGCCCATTAAACCTTGTTCGCCTTTTATACCCTAAATCAAAACAAAATGATTCTATTTATTCCTTTCAGCGATATTTTTATTCAGTCCCTGGCTATATAAAGTTGTTTTATCTTTTACTTAAAAGTAATCCTGATATAGCTTGCGATGAACGACTATGGCTTTTAATTCATTTTTGATATCATAAATGAGCGGAAGCAATTTATCCAAAAATAAACCATGTGTTGGCTTGGCTAACGCAAAGCAAAATAGCGCAGAATTTTAAGTATACCACCACACTAGGTCAAATTTGGTCAAAAACAATAGTAAGGTTACAATATTCGCATAGAGATGAAAAGTTTTACTAAAGTTTGGAATACAAAAAATAAACGAAATGTGCAAACTGAATTCAAGGATGCTAACTGACCCTTTTGCAGTTTTTATTCTTTTTAACGATAACATACAGCGTCCCAATGTAAAACAGAGCCATAGAACATTTAATCAACTATACATGTGCATTATAAAACTAACAATAACATTTAGTAAAATGATTAACATCTTTTTTAACAGTTTAAATAATTTTATTTAAATTTGGAAAACGACCTTTAAGATTGAAAAGAAATCTTTGTTCTATTCGTCGCTCTCATGACGTACCTATTGGCAGAGGATTTCTAGTGGGTAGGTCGGTACTCAATGCACAAAAAAGTCTTAAAAAACGACGTGATTTTACTCTCTATGCAAGATTAATAGGAAACGTGTATACTATGCCTGTGGTTTAAAGTAACGCAAAGTAAATACGAGTATAAACAACTTTTTTAAATTTTTACCCTACCGGTAAAAATTTAAAAAAGTTGTTTATACTCGTATTTTTACCTGCAAAATTACCGGTAAGTGTGTTTATTTGTACTTGTAATGGTGTGAGTCTTAGGGTTTTAATAAAACAGTAAGATGCTGAAGATACAAACTTAAAAATGTTAACCGTATAACCATACATGGGGTTATACGGGGCACCCGAGATTGATTTGTTTTCTAAATATCTCAGTTAGATATTACCCACAAATTCTAGAGTACTTATTCTAGTTTGGTTTTGACCACTCGCGTTTTTTAAGCGTGTGTTTATTTTTTATTTTAAGAATCAGAGACATTTTAGTATGGGGTACTCCAGCGCCGCGGAGTAGGAATAACCTGTGCCCTAGAAAGTGTAGGCTTCTAGGGTTCAGTTTGCACTTAAAGTTAAATCGGATCGGCCTGCAATTTAATGTTAATCCTGCACTTGCTATAACTAATTACACAGGCGTTAAACATCGCTAAATCTTAAATAGGTATGAACAAACCTACTTAAACCGACTGACAGGTGTACTTAACCTAATTGGCAGGCAAACTTAATCAATGAGCTTTTTAAAAATCTATTTTTTTTTATATCTTACTAACGTAACTATAAAATACTGTTAGTTAACAAATGTAAAAAATTGTCTAACATAGTGACTTACAAGACTAAGGTTTTTAATAAGTCATATTTTGGACGGGGTTTATTGATTTATTTTCACAATATGTTGGCGTAGGATGGCGTAGTGGATTAAGCGGTCGCCACGCCGCTTTCTACTACGCCGAGTGTTGTGGATTCAAACGCCATGTGGGACGACACATTGTGTGATCCACAAATTGTTGTTCTGAGTCTGGGTGTTCTTTGTGTCCGTTTCAAGTATGTTTGGAAAGTCCCCCGCGACACAGGATATATTACTAATGCTGAGTTGTCTTTTATCAGAAAAAAAAAAATTTGGAGCGAATCCTACATTTATTAGTAGCTTTCCTTTAGCCTTTCGTGTTATTAACCTACATATACTGCAGTACGCCAACGTCAGGGATATATCGAAATAGCATTTTCATCTATATGTGTCGCCGCTTGGAAATACTAATTTAGTTCGTTTTCCTTAGCAAGGATGTTTTTAGTTAGCATTGCCATATTAGCATCCCGGCACTGAATTAACTCTAAATGTGCTCTACTTTAAAAGGAAAGGAACGGTATGTTTTTTCTATCGAACCGTAAAGTTAATTTAAATAATATATGTCGATTCTGTTGTTGAATGTTGTTTCTGTCAAACTGTAAATGTACTACTTGTGAAAAGTTTCGAAATTGTTCGAATGAAAAATGAATTTGCATGAACATTTTATAGATATTTATTGCATGTTTCACAATCTTTGTCACAGTTTTCTAATAATAATCTTACCGTTTACCTGAAACCTACGATTTTTTCCTGAAATTGACTATATTGTAAGAACTGTTCATTTCTTCATAGTTGTATGTTGTAAGAATACAGTAAGTAATAATAATCATTTATTTAATATTGTCATCCATAACATCTTGTTAGAATTTATTCTTAATATTTATGTTAGTATAAAAAAATACATTACAAATATGTACATGTCAAGCCTAATATGTCAGTAATCATTACTAATTAAAAATGATCATTATTACATGTCAGTTTTGTGTTTGTTTTCTCATAGTTAATGTAGAAGACTATATTATATTAGGTATGACAAATATGATGTAAATGTTAGTGTTTTATTAATTATAAAATTAAATACCTTTTCGCCTAAATCACCCTTTTCACCTTTGAGATCTCGTAATTTTTCCACAACTAGTTTTGCTAAAAAAAAATGTATTGATTCAATATAAATTTTTGCAATATACTTAAAATAAAATAAAACTGACATAATGTTTATGTGACTGTCGTATTGAAATGTTACTAAAAATATCTAATATTTCAGAGTTGTTTATCAGATTATCATAAACCATATTGTTTTAGAAACACATGACTTACAGGTACTCGGTAGGTAATCTAGGATAGTTATAGAAATAAAAACATTTCTAATTGCAAGACTTAAATAATATTAATTTGTTATTTCTCAATTGAAAGTAAAAATAATGTACCTAACTAAATAACTTATTACGTTTTGAAAAATGAGAAAAAACTAATTATAAACATTTTTCAAAAAATGCAATAAATTGTTATAGACTGAACGTGAGTTAAAATTTCCATTCAGCATTTTAATATTCAATAGTACTTTAAAAAAATAATATGATTGCCTTACTTTCATCAGGTGGCATATCTATGATGGAGGATAAAGATGCCGGAAGACCAGCAACACCCGGACTGCCCTTGTCACCTATAAATAAGAAAATGTTCTCATTTGTACATAAAATTTAAATGACTTACAGGGCTCTTTACGATAGCCCACCAGCTAGAAAGTAAAATGAATGTTAAGGAGCCGTGCAAGGAGGGGCATCTTCTGGCAAGTGTGATGGTTGGTATAAAATTGCTAAATGTGGCGACATGCATCTGTCTAATGATCTTGCACCGTAAAATGAAAGTTCTCGTCTCTATCAGTATATACATAGAAGCTATTGGTCCAGGATTAGCTTGCATGAATCACCTATGCTCATCGAAAGTCCTGACGATCTTTTAGCTAGTATTCTCCTTCCGCAACCGTTCCCGCTTGATGAACATCCACAGCCCGGTAAAGTCCTCCGGCACACAAGGCAAGGTCCATGCAGAACATGCTAGCTACTACGCAGCAAGTTTCAATTTACTGAGGACTCCACCACAACTTTTTTTTAAAGTCCTATAATATTCTTCATTTGAATATCGAAACTGTCGTTAACTGTCTACTAACTTAGTAGATTAACTCTTACATATGTATCCAATAAAAGTATGTATTTAAAAATAAATGACATTTTCTTTTAGAAATCGTAAAATAGAGACATGTCTTATATCTCTTATTATTATTTTGATTTCTGTGATATTTACCTATTTGACTTTTATTTTTTTTTATGACACGGTCTTATTCAGGGCATCACAAGTTTCTATCTCGTAACTCTACCCACAGTACCACTTCAACCCCTTAGTAGGACTAATGGAATAGAGTTCCGGGACACTAGTCTGTTAGTTCGTATTATGTTAGTCCGTTAGCGGTGCACTATTGGGACTCATTGCAATACCAATTAGTTCATTTTTTTTAAATCTAAATCGCGGCTATTATTTTTGCCCGTTTTCCCACATACCGGCAATATTAGAGAAAGCTTCTCTAACTCTACACTACTGTGTAGAGTTGTATAACAACGATGCGATCTAATATAATTTTAGATTAATCTACAGTTTTCTTGATGATTGATTTGTATGAAAATTATGGCATGGTAATATAGGATTTCTATTACAATTTTCTCTAATAGACCTTTATTGCATATATGTATGGGACTAATTTAAAGAAATCTATTTCGGACAACTAGATCATTTCACTTCAATCATCACTAAATTCTTGTACTTCTTCTCCAGAATCGGTAAAATAATGTTTTGTTGACTTTAGGCTAATATTTCTGAGACTTCATGTATTTAGTTGATTGTTGCAAACTACCTTTCTCGCCTCGTGCACCAGATTTTCCATCGGTACCTGGAGACCCAGGGATTCCGTCTTTTCCTTCTTCTCCTTTTAGACCAGTGGCACCTCTAAAGCCCTTTTCACCTTTGGAACCCTGTAACGCCAATAAATCTTAACTTGAATTAAAAATATTATAGAACACATTCCTACAATAGAAATGGTATGTGTTATTGCATCTTACCTGCTCGCCTTTGTTGCCTTTCATACCATAATCTCCTGGTGACCCCTTTTCCCCTCTTTCTCCCTTCTGTCCTGGAGTGCCAGGAGGACCTATTGGTCCTTTCTCACCAGGCATTGCTCTTAGCTTTATATCATCTTCTGTTGGCTAAATCGAAATATTAAATATTTATAACAATATTTGGAAATGAAAATACGTTGGTGATTTACCGTTTTTTTATAGCTTTTATTATAATAAAAAAAAAATGTAAAAAATAAGCACCGTAAAACCTGGTGATCCAGGCGGTCCCATAGGTCCTGCCACACCAGGGATTCCTGGTTCACCATCTTTTCCTGCTCGACCTTCTTCGCCCTTTGGCCCGATAGGACCAGTTAGACCAGCAACGCCTTTTTGTCCTTTGTCACCTTTTAAGCCTTTTAGTCCTTCTTTGCCTTTCAGTCCCATGTCACCCTTGAAATTAGTAAATTAGGAAAAACAAAAAGAAAAAAAACACTTCATGGTAAATAGAAACTAGAAAAAAGAAGGCTTGCTCTTTTAGAAAAAATACATTCTCACTAAACATTTAAATAACAGTTTCTTAAGTACACAAATGTCGAAAAGCACACTGAAAATTACATTAAGATACAATTTGTAAATTACTAAATACGATTAAGTGATTTTTTACCTTTAAAAGACGTTTTACAGTGGGTAGCAAGGGATCATCTTTTTCATAAGCATTTACTGAAATACAAAATAATATTATGAGACTGCCCAAAAAATATAAAAAGAGACACGATAGTTTATTCAGCAATGAAGCAATCGGGATCGATATCTAACATTCAAATCTACGAGTATATTAAAGTCGTGTTATAGTTAATATATTGTTACTAATAAGGATTGAACTGCAGAAACATTCATTTGACGACATAATACATCAGCTTTCTTGCTCTAACTCTTACCAAAATCTTTAAAAAAAGAATTTCCTTTTTCTCCCTTTGGTCCCAACACTGTTTGACCAGGTGACCCCGTATCTCCCTTTGCACCTTTTGCTCCTTGAGGTCCTTCGGGTCCAGGTAATCCTTTGTCTCCTTGTGGACCAATCAAACCACGTTCACCTTTTGGACCTGCATCTCCATGTTGCCCGATTTCACCCGGAAAACCTATGTCCCCTTTATCACCTTTGAGCTATAAATCACAATTTTACATTTAATTTGAACGGAAATACTATCATAATAGATTATAATAATAACTTCAAATATCTCACACACGGCAGTTTGATCATAAACTAAGCAGAGCCTATACTACGGTAACTAGTTTGCTGATAAATATGCTTAAATATTTTAAAATACATATATATTATAGATAGGTTACACCCAGACACAGTAAAAATGATCGTGCTCATCACATAATTATTTGATCTGTATCACGAACCCACGACTTCCTGCTTAGCACTCCTTCTACTTTTTATTGGAAAACTTATAAAAGTATAATGTTCAACAATACAATAGAAGTTGATAACGACATTAAATCAAACACTAGTTAACATAACTTACATTATGCACAATATGAATGCTGTTTAAACATAAGTACCTGGATGACCGAGCTTTCTTTGCTTTTGCTTTTTGGTACATTTTCTAAAAATGAAACCCCCAGCACACTAAATTTCATGAAAATTGTTGGAGCCATTTCCGAGATTCAGATTATATATATATATAAATATACTAGAATTGCTCGTATTAGATATTGGTTTTATTATTTGATGTTCAATTTAGTATTTGATGATAGGATTTACACACAATGTTCTACAAATAACTAAAAATGTGGGGAAATAATGCTTACAACCAAACGGTGTTACAAAACATCTGCAACTACATTCCTAAATTTGTAAAAACATAGTAACTTGATATTCACCTTTTTAACGTCTATAAATGGAGCGTTTTCACCTTTTTGCCCTTTTTCTCCATCTGTTCCATTATATCCAGGTAGTCCTGTAGGTCCCTAAAATATAATTTAGATTTTGAAACTAGTACGAAAAACATCTACTTTATATTTAGGGAGTTTTTTTCTTCTAACACGCTTTTATAAGCTTGGTATGTATATATGTTACGGAATTTTCGAACGTGATTTTGACGCACTCCGAAACGTCGAATTAAATTGAAACTTCATACACTTATCAAGGACCGATGACATTACAATAATTTGAAAAATTTGGCCGATTATCCTGATTAAGATGTTCAGGGTTAACGGCTTTTTCCACACCTAAAAATACGGTAGTATCATTTGCTACGTACTAAGAGGCGTGTGCTGAAGTACATATATGTGACTTACTTACTTGTAAGTTTTTTAGTATTGATGAGAAAATAATCATTAATGACTAAAAAAGCAAAAATAAATAAGTTTAAAAAAATAAAAACGCGCAACACAACTAAAAATATTTTCAAGATATTTAATAATATAATGACTACTTTTACCAATTTAATATTTTTACAACAATTGAGATCTGGCACCCCACTAAAGTTATTTCCACTTTACTGACTTTTACTTCAATTATTTTACTTTAGTTCAGCTGGTTCCAAAAGCGGTTTTTTTTTTCAAACAATAATTTATTACATTATACATTTTACAGCAGGTAGGTAAGAATTTACCTGCCTATATTTTTTCTAACTTACCATTATACCTTGAGGACCAGGATCACCTTGATCTCCATTAAGACCAGCTGGGCCTATATCACCCTTTTCGCCTTTATCGCCTTTATCACCACGTTCTCCTCGTGAACCAGTTCGACCAGTATCACCTTGTTGCCCCTAAAATAACATTGTAATATTAAAAATACTTATTGTATGTAACGTTCTTTTTCTAGGTTGAACCCTACAGAATAGGCGCTTGTTACCTAATTAAGAATTATAGATTACGTTAGATTTTATCCGCGACTTCGCTAGCTTTAAAAGTCATGCGTCTATCCTTCGCGAGCTCTACGATTACTAGATGCAAATTTATTATTATGTCTTTTATACCCCTGACAACATTCTACAAACCATGAATTTACTCTCGGTATCAATGATCAAGGATTAGGTATATGGTTGAATATGTTCCTCTCTCTGATCTGCATGTACAAAACAAAGTAAAGAGTAAACCGAAAGGGCTTTGACTTCTATTAGCCCATTTTAAACTCATGCTCATGTTTATATCACAATTGAAAGCAACCCTTGCCAAAAATAGCTGGTCTGTTTTGGATCTTCATCAAACCTTAATTGCGGGTGGTGAAACTCCTGGTATACCAGGTTCACCCTTATCTCCTCTATGACCTTTGTCCCCACTGGGGCCAGGTTCTCCTTTAAGTCCATGATCACCGTTTCTCCCTGGTTCACCATCAATGCCATCATGTCCGGGGGGTCCATAATCACCTCGAGGTCCTACATCACCTTTAATGCCCTAAACGGAAATACAATTGTGTTAACATTCAATATGTTATTTTTATTAATAATTATTATTTAAGTGATTGATTTTCTGAAAGAATCAATTGGGATCAATCTACATGATAATGCTTAATCAGTATGATAAAAAATAACAATTCCAAAATACGGTTTTGACCGCTTCATAGAATTATTTTATCGGTTTAGACGTCAATACGAAACATTCATGATACACGTGTTATATAATGCAAATATTTGTATGAAAGAAAGAACGAGTCTTTAAATAATATAAGCAAAATATATGTCTTTAATATAAGAAACGTTCATTATACGTATAGCTGTACATATAGCTTCATCATCAGCCTATCGCAGTCCACTGCTGGACATAGGCCTCTCCCATTGCACGCCACTTAGATCGATTTTATTTTCATTCCACATATAGCTTAAAAAAGAATAATTAATTACCTTTTTACCTATTTCACCCTTTTCACCTTTGAGATCTCGAAGTTTTTCTACAACTAGTTTTACTGAAAATGTAAATACAATATATAAATATACACACATAAATATACATGTATATTGTACATTAAACATATATTATTATACTATGATTCATAATGGGAACACCCAAATACTCCAAATTAATTTATTCCAAAATTTCGATGTTCCGATTTTCAAAAGTCCGAATTTCATAATACCTAAGAATTATAATGTCTGTTAGTGGTCTATTATTAATTTTACCAATTGTCTGTTTTAACAATTAAATGCTTGATAGGTTCTCAATCGGAAAAAACGAAATGCCGATTTTCAATTCTTCGAATAAACCGCTAAAATTAAGATTCTGATTCAGATTCAGTTAGTATAATATTCACTTACGCATATATATTCAAAACTTATAAATAACGTTTAATATAATTTAAAAACGTCTGCTTTGTTATTAGTATTTTTGTTTTTTTTTGTTTTCTTCTTCACCTTAATATACTTGCAACGGGTACCATCTACTGTTATTGATTTCTTTGGGTTAGGTTAGGTTAGAACTGTGACCAATAAAGCGCGAAGGCGCGGCGAGCGTAGCTGGGGCCGAGCGCCAGATCCCCTCTATTGTTGGTGAATCATTTGGGTAAAGTTAAGTTAGAACTGTGACCAGTGAAAGAAAATATTTTTATTCCAAAAGAAAATAGTTTTTTTTGTTTAGGAATTTTGAACCATTTTTCGTGAGTTCTGGTTGGTAGTGAATTAGGTTAAAAACACCAACTCTAAATTGCTAGTCCGATATTTCAAACATTTAAATTTCAATGTATGAATTATCTCATGAGAAACAAATGCAAAAAAATAAAAGTTAAACAGCCCCACTCAATCAGTCTGAAAGTGAATAAATCTGATGGTAGCAACAATTTTTTAAGAATACAGTTCACGTATATTATTAAACTTACATAATTAGAGTTCCATGTTTGATATTAGAATGTACGTTGATTGACGAATAAATGTTATAAATAGAAAAATAAAACCTAAATATATTATATATTAAATGTATTATTGATCTATAAAGTGTCTTATTTATTGACATCTTACTTTCATTTTCAGGCATGTCTACGATCGAAGATAAAGATGCTGGAGCCCCTTGGTTGCCCTTTTCACCTGCAAAAATGAAAATTGTTTGTAATTTCATAAAATAAGATAGTGCTCACGGAAACTGAACGATTTTTGATGAGCAGTTACTATTACCTATACACCCATAGATTTCTAAGAAATGGTTAATTTTATAATTAAACACATCATCATCATCATCAACAGCCTATACTAGTCCACTGCTGGACATAGGCCTCTCCTTAGAAAGGAGGTAAATTAAAAAATAAATTAAACACTGCAATTATGTATTTCTTGATCACAAGGAGATGAAAGTTTACAAGGAGAATACGATGGCAGCCAACCTAAAAATTGAGTGCAGAACTCACTAAGGTCTGCAGTAGGGTAACAGTTACTATTGACTCTAAATTGTAGTTAGCTTCCTAAATAAATACCACGAAGTAGGTTTGTAGCTAGAAATTTAGTACCCTATATCTTAAGTTGATTTTATTAATGTCAATCCTGGTCAGGGCGTTGAATTTACATACAAATAGTATATAGTATATTATTCATGTTGTTTAGATTCTGTTTACTCTAGGTTGCAGGTACATCACTAATACGAGTTCAAAAATGATGTTAAATATAACTACCTCTTCCTCCCGGTTCACCTGGCTTTCCATCTTGTCCTGTATCTCCTTTAAGACCTTGTTCACCCTTAGTACCCTGAAGCAAAAGTTTGAAATGAATAACTAAAAAAGAATAGGATATATGTGTAAATTGGTGTTCACTTTTAGTCTAATGCATTGAACCATGACAGTCGAACGTAGGAAAAAATGTTTTTGCCAATTTTTTTGGGTTTCGCTCTTCAAGTGGAGTTATTTCACACAAAGGTAATTTTTCGAAAATTATGAACACAACACATTAGATCCAATAAATCTAAAAAAAACGGGCTTCAAATTATACATACCTATTAAGCCTTTATTTGAATTTGGCATTTTTTTGTTTTAAGTATGTTGGCGGCACAAATGGGCAAAATATTTTAGACTAGATGCCTGAGATTAGATGAACTATCAACATAATGGCACCGCGAATGACAAATAATATTAAGATCATCAACACTTCATTCAAATTATCAATGAATAGTTGTGTTGATGACATCAATGAATGAAGTGTTGACGGCCTTAAATTAATTTAATTTATATTTAACCTGTTAATTTCTACCAAAACCAAATAATATTAAACAGAGGATATTGTACTGCTTGTATTTACACATCTTGTTAAATAAATATTGAATTATTTTGTTCTATGAGGATATATATCACTAAAGCTCTTGCATAGCCACAAAATATTAAAAAATGTTAGATAAATTGGTTTTCTAATAGAAGTGAATGTTTTTTAACTGTTTTATCTTTTATAAGGCGATGAAATATAATTTAGTTTCAAATTATTCTTACCTGATCACCTTTTGATCCTCTCATGCCTATATCTCCTCTTGGTCCTCTTTCCCCTGGTTCTCCTTTTTGCCCTTTTGGTCCCATTAAATCAGGATCACTTGTTATAATTTCCTTATCTGGTGGCTATGACAATTTCTTTAAATTAGACCTACATACTACCATATCACGTATGTGGTATTTGTATTTCTATTACATCTTACATAATATATAATAATAATAAAGCTTTGTTGAAAACTAGAACATATAACAACTATAAAGTTTGTAATGGATATTACTACTAACATTTAAGTAACTTATTTACTAAATACTGAAAAATATATTTATGAATAAAATCACATTGTCATTTATAATATTAAGTAGAATTTTAAATAATTTGAATTTGCTATGATTTAGTTTATGCATAAAAATTTGAATGTATTTAAAAAAAAATGTTCCAGACGATTATGAATATTCAAATAGAAGTGGATGTGTCAGTTGAATATATAAATCAAGTACTCTAGTTCTTCTCCAAAAAATATATTACAATTATTTCTACGACTAAATACTCACCATACATCATATCGGAATTATTTTATTTATTCTAACATTTTCAGGTAGTCTACATAAAATTTGATTAAAATAATAAAAATTACATAAAACTTAATAGTTTTAGATTAAGCTATAATCATAACAATATAAATATAATATATATAATTAAAATGCTTACATCGCTATTATCTCCACGCGTGATGAGATCATCGCCTAACTGTGAAAAGTAACTAGTTAAAATAACTCTACAAATTTAATACAAAATATGTAATTTTAATTACTGCAATAAAGCGTAAGCCAATTAGAGATTAATCGAAAAGCCAACCAAATGAAAACAGATGCCAAATTTTGAAACTAGCGGCTTACTTGTAAGTTTTCTGCTTCAGGAACAGTCTGTATGTACACAAATAAGCAAAGTTAATTTGTTAGTGATAATACACATTTTTTCAATGTCTAATGTGATATTAGATATTGAAAAAATATTAAATTAGTGAATAGGTAAGTATGAGAATGTTCTATTCTCGGTATTAGCTTAGTATCTGTTTTTTTAGTTTAGGTACTAAATAACTCCCATATAAGCTCCACATTTATTCATCTACTGCTTATTATTTATCAATACACTCTATTAGAGGTGGGCATTTGTTAGCTAAAACAAATTTTTAATTATCGGAGTAAGAAGATTTTACGTCACTAGTGTCGTCGATACAGAGACAACTGTTTGAAAGCATTATGTAATACAAAGACTACCATTATATAAAATGATGGTAATTTATAATATTTTAACGCCTTCTAAAATTACAAAATCTCTAAAAAAGTTATAACTACTACTCTAAATACTAATAATGTATCAACATAGATACACATGTCACTATAGATATAAGTTATGTACTTGTAAGCAAAAAAGCACTTACTTGATAGTCCTCATAGTCTTCATCCGTCTACGAAAGAAATTAATTTTGTTAACACAAGTACGACAGCATAATGTATAAATATATATGTAATACGTTAAATAGAATTGAACAAAGCTGGCCAACAAAACGTGTTTTTGGACCCAAGTTCTGGTTCTGAACACATTCAACAAAGCTTTCCTATTGGAAAGCGTTAAGGACAAAGACTAGAGGGATTTTAATATTGATACGTCAATTATACTCTATCTGACCAACTTTGTTAACTAGCCGCACATTTAATAGACACATTTGTATATTTTTAAACGCTTAGCAGTGGAATGTAAGAGGTGCAACTTATTAGCCAGACCAAGGATTTGTCCCAAACGTATTAAAGCAAAAATAAATTTAATAAAATTTTGAAGAAACTCCCACATGCAGGTGAACCCTGCAATTAAATATACCTATGACACTACTATCACCTACTTTACAAGTAGTTATGACTATAATCATATATAATATTAAACAAAAAAGACAGGTAGTGTCAAAAGTACGTCCAAAAGAAAATTTATATTCAGAAAGTTAGAACATCAAAATTTAACAAGACAGCTGCTGTAAGCGGCAAAAGACTGCATGTATTAAAAAATACTAACTATGTCCGATAAACTTCTACCCTGGAACATATAAAATAATTATCAAATATAACTTTAAAAGTATTTGTATTGTATAAATATGTTATTTATTTTTCGATATCCATTAAATATCAATTATTTGACTAATTAACTAATTACTTACATGATTGCAAATCGTTTGGAATGTCTGGTCACTTGCCGAGGGATATAAAAATAATTCTTCTATATCGACCTAGAACAAAAGCATAAAAGTAAGCTTAAACAATTTACTGATGATTTTATTTTAGTACCGTTTATAGTAATAATAATATACATATATGCATCTGTCAACAAACTGTTATCCAGTTTGGCAGAAGTTTGTAATCTATAAAAATTGAGATATTATGTTCATAAAAATAAATCAACATTCATTCATATCTATTGGTATTGGTATTGGTTGTGGGCCTCGGTTTCCGCATTTAGACTCAGAGTGGTCCTTTATGCGTCGGGGATTGGCTGACTAGGTGAGCCAGCCAAGCTCCTTCCAGAAGCGCAGAAGCCTCCTGAGGCGTTCACAGGCTTCTAGGAGCAACTTTATATCAGGAATGATATTTGCCCGTTGTGTGGCCACTCCCTCGCATTCCAGGACTACGTGGGCGGCCGTTTCTTCAGCTTCCAGACACCCCCTGCACAGGGGGCTGTCCGTCGCATTGACTATGAATAGTTGTCGGTTCAGGGCTAGATGTCCTGTAATAGTTCCGACAACCATTCTGATGTCCGGTCTGCTAAGACTGATCAGTCTGCTGGTGAGTCGTGGCGTGACTTGATTCAGCACCAGTTTGGACTGTCTGCAGCCGGGTGAGTTTTTCCACCTCCGGTTGTGTGCTTCACAGGTCCGTTGCCTGACCCAGCATCGTATTTGGTTAAACGATATGGGCAGAAGTGGGGTTGGGCCAGAGGTTGGGGTTGCCGATCCCCTCCTTGCCAACTCATCTGCGGCATCGTTCCCGTGTGAGTTACTGTGCCCTTTAATCCATTGGAGGAGTACCCCATTGAATATAGCGAGCTGTTCCAGTGCTTGGTGGCATTCGAGGACAACACCAGAGGTCATTGTGTTGCCCTCCAATGCCTTTAAGACGGCCATGCTGTCGGATATTATTCGGATGTTGTAGTCCTTGATACCCCTTGACATGGCCGTTGTGGCGGCGTAAGTTATTGCCACACATTCACATTGAAATATGGAGCTGTGTTGGCCTAACGCTAGTGATATGTTTATATTTAGGTCTTGCGAGAAAACTCCGGCTCCAGTTCCTGACCTAGTCTTGGAACCGTCCGTGTAAATTCGGACTTCGTTAATGCCGGATTGATCACGGTCATTTCCATGTATCTGGATGTAGTATCTTCTTGTGAAGATATGGTGTTTTGGGATTCTATCGCATGGAGCTGCTATCAGTGGTTCGTATTCCACCAATTGATCCCATAATTTAGAGTGCGATCCCTCCCTTTTGTGCCATAGACCCAGGTGTTTGAGTCTAATGATCGCCATGGCGGCCTCCTGCTGTATGAATAGATCCAGGGGTGGCAGACCAAGAGCCACCTCCAGTGCGGCAGTAGGCGTTGTGCGCATACAGCCAGTGACCGCGGAGCATGGGAGTCGCTGGAATTGCTGCAGTTTGTTTATGACGGTGCTTAGCTCTGTTCTCTGCCACCAGACAACAGCACCGTAAGTGATTATTGGTCCATTCATATCTATATTATACACTCAATTTAAAGACAAGATAAAAAAAAACAGTATTATTCTATTAGTAAAATAAAATTTCGGGCCTTATCCTTTTATAGACACCATGGGCTGAAGAGGAACATTGAAAAATGAAATTTGGGCAGTGGTGCATGTTAACATGTATAGTATTTACTTAAATTAAATGAATATAAAATATCATATTGTAAGTAAATTTGAGTTCGACACAATTTTTCTTATACACTTACTCAAGAAACTACAAATACGTGATGAACTAAATTAATCAGGTAAATATGATATAATTCATGAAATTATACAAATAATACTATGACGAAATCTACCCTTTTTCCACAGTGTGACCGATATGAAGCTCTCAGTACACTTTGAGGTTTGCATAATCCAGTATGTACGAGCTTACTAGTTAACAATAATTTTAGCTGCTGTATAGTGTTCCGTCTTTTTGTACTCATGACTAGATCAGAGTGTTCCATCTTTTTGTACTCATGGCTAGATCTCTGGTACTATGCAGTAATGAGCGTGCAGGATGGATTAGGATGTACTGATTATTAAATGGAATTTAAATGGCTATTATGGAATATGTTTGTTCCATAACAGCATTTCGCATATAATAATTTCGTTATCATCATCATCATCAAGCCTTTAATAATCATCATCCTTAATAGACCACTGCTGAACATAGACCTCTCCCATAAATAGAAATAATGTTTACTATGAAAATAACATCTGTACTATGAAAGGTATTGTATATCAAAGGTATAGAATCTCATTTGAACGAATGTGATTATGAAGTGTTTGTGTGTATGTGGTGTTATGTGCGATATCAGCATTACATCAAATGAAACTTTATGAAGACGATATAATACTCCGTTCAAAATATTCTCCTTCACAAGTACATATATCTTTGTCTTACTCAAGTCTAACTAAAATGAGACTATTTATTTATCACTTTTCATAAAGACTTAACTTGACTTGTTGTTTTAACCTATTGTACTGATTTCATAATAATGAGATATACAAGATAGCATTAAAAGAATATAGAATATGCATGCATTTTTTTTTTTGGTTAAATTTTCATGAAATAAACTTTGACGAACTACGAAATTGCGAAATTGTATACTTTAACTTAACTTAAAGCTTGAACTAACTAATAATTCAAACAAAATTTAATAAAATACTAAAGATAAATTTAAGCTATTCACAGAAGAGATAGATTTAAAAATGTAGGAGACATTTGTCTAAAGTTTTGATCGTGATCCGGTGTCAGAACATGCTTCAACTTAAGACCCCAATTTTTCTTAAGATTTGAATTATTAACTTTCTGCAAAATAGTGTAAAACGTCCCGCTGCAAACTGTGACAGCACTGTTGAACTAGTTTTTACGATCACTGAAAGTGAACATAAAACAGTAATACTCTGTCTTGTATCTTCTCGCAGTGAATCATACTTTCTTGGAATTCTAATAAATTGGGTTTTAAGATATAATAAATTAAACTGGTTTGGTGATATCAAGTGGTTGTATTTGTTCGATAAGGCAGCATCTTTATCCTAATTTCAAGTTGTAGAAATAACGTGAAAAAATCGTTAAGACCTATTTAAGTCTGGTAATAAACAAAATTTATAAACAGTGGTTCATAAATTTTATATCTAGTTATTACATTACAATTTTTTTTTTTGCATTTGCCAAACCTCAGAACACTATTTTTGTTTTAACACATGAGTAAACCCACGTATTCCCTAAAATTAAATAAACAACGCCCGACTTTTTTTGTAGTATGACTATGCGACTCTATGGGACATTTTCGCGCAAATTTTGTTTTTCGAACACTACTACCCAAGGAGTTAAGCTATGTATTCACTGAGGGATATGTCGCGAAGATACATCGTCCGACTTTTGCACGGTTATACTATATGTATTGCAGTACATTATTGGTCGCAGTTGTCACAGATATATCGCCTGAGGACTTAGCCATGTATTTATTCCGTTCCGTTCCTATATTCCGTTTCTGTGATATGTCTCTACATTTCACGGAAATAAATAATGTTCCTATCCGACATAATCGACTGCCTCGGTGGTGCAGTGGTTTTTGTTCGATTCTCGAGTCGGACCAAATGTTTGTATGGTCTGCAAATATTTGTTTCAGAGTTTGGGTGTTTTCTATATATGATATGAATGCATTTACAAAAAAAGTAAATAAGTCATTTACAAAAAAAAAATCTATCAGTCAAACTAGCTTTTATAGTACAACTCTGCTTAGTCTCAGATGTCCGAAAAATATTATTATCGTAATCTACAGCTAGCAGCTAATGTACAATGAAACCACTTCTACATCAATTCCCAATTTTACTACCTCCGAGGTGTGCTACATAAGAATAGGTATGTACTTGTGTTTATCGCAACAGCTTGCAGACGACACAGCTAAAGCTCTCTAAATACATTAGCTGCAAACTCTAGTCGCTCTGAACAGTTTCACCGCAGTTTGATTTCGAACGGATTCTGTAGCGCACCTCACTTTAAGCAAGGCATGTTACCGAATGCAGATGAAGGAAACTAAGTGTGCACTGTGATTTCATCTCTATAACCGCCGATGTAATGTAATTGTACAATTTACTGTTGTTGAAAATAATATTCGACTCATTCTGATGTTTTGGGGTTTTTAATAATTTCATTTTTTTTTATGATTTCTGAATTTAGAAAACGTCCGAAGGCTAAGGTATAAAATTGAAATTATTGTATTAGTCAAAATCATTTTCTTATAGATTTAGATTTAAGTTAATTGCCCTGCTCATTATTTAACTAGAAAGTACCTTAAGTTTTAACATCAACAAAACAGAAATAAGAGGAAATGAGATTTAAGCCCCAGAAACCTTACAAAAACACAAATTCCTACACTTTTGTGAAACAAGATAACGTATACACACAGTTAAAACCGTCTTTTTTGAAGATTTTTGTAAATATTTTTGTTTTAAAACAGTTTGTTGAAATATTAATTGAAAAACATTCTACAGTATTAAAAAACAAAAAAGTACATTCTTATTTCGCAGTACCATTGCTTAATTTATCAGTACCTACTATTTAAAGAATATTATATCAACATCATGATTATCAAGAGCCTTTAAAATAGTCCACTGCTGCTGAACATAGGTATCTCCTTTGAAAGGAGGTATAGACTAGATTGAGGAGACAGAAAATAAAAGAAAAAGGGTAACAAGTTGATGAGACTGTTACTTCTCGATAGCTCTAAAAGTGAAAATAAGTACTAAAATCTGTTTCGTAGCTTCAGAATTACTTAACTTTTTTTTCCAAAATCAAATTTATTAGCAGGGAAAATAGCAGACAACCTCTTTTTTAGTTACATCTTTATTGCACAATAGACCAACGATAACTACAGTAAAGTACTACAAGAAAAAATAAATACAATTCTCTCTGTAGATTCTCTCTGTGAAGTATATTTCTGTACGAAAATGTATTTAATACCCGTCTGCTTTGAGCGAAC